ATTTCTAGCACTTAATCCTGCATTTCTTATAGATACAACACAAGAGCTTGCGGGACCAGGGACTCTACTAGGGAATGTAATTTCAATTGACTAGAGCAGCTGGAACGCAAAGCAATATTTGCTGGAAGAGCCTTGAGGGAGGACAGGAGAGAAACTTTAGGACAAAGAAGAAAGGCAAAGTGGCGAAGGAGATTATTCATCCCGGTTTTGAATTAACTTCTGCTTCAATGCAATCTTCACTCACAACGTGGTGGTCAGAGCACGCTGGCTGCTCCATCAGCGCTCAGCAAGAACCCTGATACATGCAGATGACTTGTACAAGGGTGAGAATGAAATGCAGCCTGCTTGCCCATAAATAGATTTGAGGGGTTTTTGTTTGTGTTTTGTTCTGAAACTGCTTTGTACTCCAGCCCGGAATAACTCTCTTCTCCCACATTTCTCCTTCTTGGCTGGCTCAGATGTGCAGCCACCAGCTGTTTGCTGGGATTGTTCCTTCTCCTTGCTCCCTCCCCTCCAAATTCTTCAGGACATTATTTTCTTGAAGCTTTTCTCAATAAGAATTTAATCAAACAAAACAAAACCACAGCAACCCGCAGCTTCTTGGACAGTGTTTGATGTGTAAATATGTAAAGAAGGAGTGTTTTGAAAATGCAATCAGCTACCTCCTGGGGACTCGAGTCCTACAGTGAGCCAAGGTGACTCCACAAGGGAGATATGTGCTCCTCCAAGATTAAATTCCAGCTGCAGTGGGAGCACGGGTGACCGGAGGCACAGCTAAGCCACTTCTTAAAGAGACATTTTTGGAATAGCAGCATGATTCTCCCTTCTCCAGCACTGCTCCTTCCTGCATATTGCCAACCAGGTCCTTGCCTCAGGCTGGCATCGCTGTTGGTTCCCAACCTGCGGCTCTGGGAGCCTCTGTGGAGCTGAGACGTTGGATACTCATCGGGTTTATGGCCATATCAGACTTCAGAGGGAAATAGCTCCTAATGCTTTCCTCATTGCCACGGAGTGAAATACCCTGCACACACAGCGTGTCAGACAGTCACAGTGCTACCAGTGAAGTGCACGGGAGGTGACTCCAAGGAAAGGCTGCAGCCGCGCTGATCTGCTGACAGCTCAGCAGATACACTGTGTGTAAGCTCCTGTCCTGGAGGGCTCAAGCAGGTGACTACTTATCTTGGGGGTTTTAATTATTTTTTTAAAAAGATATTGTGGCTGGAAGGCTGTCTGGTGGAAAAGGACCTGGGCGTTCTAATTGCCAGCCGGCTGAACGTGAGCCAGCAGTGTGCCCAGGTGGCCAAGAAGGCCAACGGCATCCTGGCTTGGATTAGAAATATTGTGACCAGCAGCAGAAGGGAGATGATTGTCCCTCTGTACCCAGCACTGGTAAGGCCGCACCTTGAGTATTGTGTTCAGTTTTGGGCACCTCAGTATAGGAGAGATATCGAGGTGTTGGAGCGAGTGCAGAGGAGGGAACAAAGCTGGTGAAGGGCCTGGAGAACAGACCTTGTGAGGAGCGACTGAGGGAGCTGGGTCTGTTCAGTTTGACAAAGAGGAGGCTGAGGGGGGATCTCATCATGCTCTGCAGTTACTTGAAAGGACATTGTAGAGAGGTTGGTGCTGGTCTCTTCTTACAGGGAATTAGGGACAGAACCAGGGGGAATGGTTGCAAATTGCAACAGGGCAGGTTTAGGCTGGATGTTAGGAAGAAATTCTTCATGAAAAGAGTGGTCAGACCCTGGAACAGACTGCCTGGGGAGGGTGTTGAGTCGCCATCCCTGGGTGTGTTCAAGTGTCGTTTAGATGGGGTGTTGGGTGAAATGGTTTAGGGGTGACCTTGTGTGGGGTTAATGGTTGGACTCGATGATCCCAAGGGTCTTTTCCAACCTGAATTGTTCTATGATTCTATGATTCTTCTGCCATTATTATTGAATAAAATATACTGCAAACATTAATATAGTACAATTTGATTAAGGAGTCCTGCTGCTATTTATATTTTGTTCGTGACCAACAGTTCACTACACTGTTAACTCGAAACTACCTCTTCACCTAGTTGAAATTCACAGTTGATGAGTTGGTCACAGCGTGCTGACTGCCAGTTATACTCTCTGTAGGCCCATTTACGATGTGTTATTTTGAAGAGCCTCACAAGGGGAGGGGGCTGTATGCTCACTTATAATTTCTTCAATGCACCGTCCCCTTGCAGCAGAAGAAAACATATTCAAATGACATTTATCTTCTAATTCAAAAGTCTATTTAAATAATTTCCCATCTTGTCTTCAGTAGTGCAGATCAGAACTCACTCGCTTTCACAGATGCATCTCTAAAATTTAAAAGACTTGCCCTGGCTTTTAGGGAGCAATGCTGTGGCTCAAAACCAAACGTTCCTCCTCAGCAATAGGCAGCTGGTACATGGTTGTGTACTCAGCGTGAGGCTTATCGGGCGCTGAACTGCTGCAGGCTCCACCTTTTACACATGACGCAAAGCTGATGCTCCCAGCTCTGTGTTCATTTGCAAGCTCAAGTGGGTTTTTTCATCAGGTCTGTGTGCAAATTCCAACTTCAGTAAGTGCATTCTGCCTGTGGTTCTAAGCAGAGACATTAGTCACCCCTTCCAGCTCAGAGGTGGTTGTGTTCAGAGGTGGGCAAGGCAGTCCCTGCATAAAACAGCTAGAAAGCGTGTTTTGGGCTCCTTCTCTATGTCAAAGTGTCTGCTGAAACTCCAAGCCATTTAATCTACTCAGGTGTGATACCAGGATATCAGTCATGATGACTGGAGATGAAGTGCCAGGTTGTTTGCTGAGGAATTAAGGGAAAAATTCAAACCTGCATTCAGTTTGGAGTGTCACGATTTTGTTTTTTGAAAGTAAAGCAAATGATGTCCAGGTTTGAAGAAGTGGTCCCTTGGCTCTAACTGAAAGCACAAGAAAGAAGGCAGTTTGCTGCAGTCGGATAAGCTTTGTGGGCAAAATTTCCCTTTTTTTGGTCTCTGTATGCGTGCACCTCAGCAAAATGACCCTCTCTTGGGCGGAGTGCTTCATGTACAGCGTGTCACGGTAGTGCTGCAGGGAAGGGCTTGGCAAAGGCAGGAGAGATTTCTTAGGTGTTTTGTGTCCTTTTTGCAGCCTGTAGCTTAAAAACAATGGCACTCTGGCAGGTGCTTTCCTCTGCTTGCTGTCTTTTCTGAGCCGACTTTCTTTTACCAGAAAAGAAACGCTTGCTGTTCGTTTCTCCTGTGCTTCCCCTTGCAACCCTTTCTCCAGTCGGTAACGCTCCTGCGGCTGCTGGGCTTTGCAGACTCTTGAGAAACAGTGGGTTTGCAATTAAATAAATTATTCCTGATTGGGGTCTCTGTTGGGCTGATCTCTTGGAAGGGCTAAGAGCGAGCGCCGTGCTAGGCATGCCCTGTCTGTAAGAGATGGAACACCACATACTTGAAAGGCTCATGCTGTAGTTAAGAGCAGGGAATGGTTGAATCCTGAAATAGCATCTTGCTGATACAAACAAGGTCTGTTTGTTTTTTGTGTGCCTATTTAGGGAACGGCTGCTCTTCAAGTAAACATTCTCTTTTGCGTGCAAGCACCAATATTTACCTTGACAAGATAGTTTATTATCATTCTTAATTTTCTCTTCCTTTGAATGTTTCCGTTCTCTTAACAAGACGGCAAAACCATTGTATGGATAAACAATCTCAAGTGAACAAATTACCACAGCTTGACACGTTCCTCCTCAGCAGCTGAGCTGCAGTACCTGACCATAAGCATGTTCCTAGTCCTCTCCGCTCCTAAACTACACATTAGTTTATGTAACTTTTAAGATGGCTTAAGCTACCCTATTTTATTTAGCATTTTCAATAGGCCTGATGCGCCTAAGTGACAAGTCCTGCATTTGTTAGGCATTACTCCTTTCTGAGAGGTGAAAGGTGGAATGAGAAAAACACAACTGCTGGAAGTTACACGGTGCAATAGTACCTAAGTATACAAAACAGGACAACTGAGAATATTTGTAGGCGTAAAGAGGATAAAGAGAAAAGAATTCCTCACAGAAAAGAAAGCAAACCTATCTCAGTACCTTTATCTGTCTCACTGCCTGAGTGAACTGCAGGAAATACAAAGGGAAGCAGAGCTCACTTTTGCTGAACTCCAGCTTGGCCTCATGATTCAATCTCTGCTGCCAAATTCAATGGCTTAAAAGAGGCAGTGGATGTGCAAAGAGACAATGTAGCTCTGTCTTCCATTAACCCGGCAAGGGAGATTAATAAATGTGATTCCGATAATCTATTTTCCCTCTGTGTCAAGTGAACCTGCTTCAGTGCACACCACCATTTACTTCGCTTTTCTCCAGGTTCCCCTGAAAATGAAACCGTCTCTCAAGTGCTCCCAGCAGATGAATGACAATACAGAGCGTACAGACTTAGAAAGTATTTCTGTAGCAGGATGATGGAGAGACATAAAAGACAAAGTCGCTTATCTAGTTCCTTCCGTCAGCCCTGTTGGGACTTTTCCTGTCCCAACAGATGTTCTCCAGTGCTTTGCCCAAGCTACTTTTTTATCTCAAGAGATAAAACTTCCATCACTCCTCTTGGGAAACTGTGCCCCTAGCTCTGAGACCTCACTGCTAGGTATCCTCCGAAACTCCTATTAAAATTTCAAGTCCTGTTAAGCTGATTCGCTTTCAAGCCTTTTCTGCTTCCCCCTGTCCCAACATGAGGGTGCTGCAGGCTGTTTCTGGGTGCAGTATCTCAGCGGGAAGCGACTTTTGATGACCTAGTTTCAGACTGACTCCTCATAGCAGCTTTGCATTCTGTTGCTTCCATTTTAACACGTGGTGAAATGAGGTGGATCTTCAGTGGTTCCTAAGGAAGGCGGTAATCTATGCACCAGCTCTTGCAGCTAAACACGGGGAAATGTCACCCATTCCCACTGACTGCCAAAGCAGGGCCACACAAAAAATGAGAAAGAACCTGGTAGAAGTCATTATAAACAACAAATCCTTACCTCTCACTACCAGCTGCATGGTGAGGTTCTTAAACAGGCCGTATTTTGCATTGCTCAAGACAATGGTGTAGTTTCCAGCGTGCTTTGGCCTCACGTCTCTAATGCCCAGTCTGTACTTCATTGGCTCTGGCTCGTAGCAGGTGTGGTTATCCTTGATGAGTTTGCCATCCTTGTACCTGTTTTGAAAGTCCCAGCAAGGCTCATCGTGTGCACACATTCCTGTTAGCCCTCAGAAAACCTGACTGTTACCCACATTAGGGTGGGTAGGGAGACAGCCTTCAGAAACAGGAAAGGAAACGCAGATCTGCAATCATCCTGGATTGCACATCTATTGCTTTTATCCTTTCACACTAAAAAAGAGTTGGAGCAGCAGCGCTTTGGGACGGCTTCATCCAACAAACAGGAAAGAGATATTTTAATGGATCTGAATGACCAGTGCCTCTCGCACACCCAGCTATGGTCAGAAATGTACACCTAGTTATCCCCAAATTGTGCTGGATGTGCAATAGCAAGTGCTAGAAATCAGGGCTTAGCCAAAATTTGTGTCATCAGTTTTAAAACAAGGTATTAGTGAAGTAGGATTGTCTCTCAATATATATATATGTTCTTTTGCTGCTTCTGAAAAGGCTGAAGTTTGTGAGCTGAAGAATTTCCAGTCAATAGGAAGGTCAATGAGGAATTCACCATTTCAAACCTTCGCTAGCTAAGAGTAGGAGAGCAGAGTCCGCACGAGCAGACTCCACTGCTAATCCAATCTGCAGGTTTGGGTTATAATTATGAAATAGGCCAGGCTGCCACACACAGAGCTTCAGGCTTGGTGGAAGGAGGACTTGGGGCATGTGTCCTACTGCCTGAGAATGCTGGAAACCTCCTTTACAGTCGTTTAAACAACTGTACTGAGAGACTTCCAACATCAACAGCTGGAGCTGCGAACACGCAGGGAAGGCAGCGCTGGTGGTCCCAGGCAGCAACCGAGCAGCTCCACGCTGAGCCCTGAGAACAAAGCCTTGGCAGAGAGAAGGGGGACGGTCCCCACTTCAACCGCTTCCATCCCCTGAACAACAGAAATGATTAGAAGTATCTCGTGGCAGCACTGATTTCACTGATTTGACGGAATTTGATGTTTCAGACCGACCAGCACCACTGCTGTTAACCTGGCAACCCTTCCCCAATGACTTTCTACTTGAATCATCCAACGAGTTCAGGGTAAATGAAACCCCCAGTTTTCCTGTAGGGACCATTTCTGTGGGATTAACTGCGTCAACGGAGGTTTAGGTTGGATCTCAGGAAACACTTCCTCACGGGAAGGGTGCTCAGGCGTTGGAAGGCACTGCCCAGGGAAGTGGTGGAGTCACCGTCCCTGGAGGTGTTTAAGGAGAGGCTGGATGTGGCACTTAGTGCCATGGTCTGGCTGATGTGGGGGTGCTTGGGCATGGGCTGGGCTTGATGATCTCGGAGGTCTTTTCCAGCCTCAATAATTCTGTGATTCTGAGTGGTTAGGAGGGAAAAGAGGCATGGGCAAGAAGTCTGGCTTGCCCAGCTTCAGGCAGCGTGTGTCGGCACTGAAAGGAGTCACATCTCCTTAGGGGTGCTGTGAGACCTCAGCGACGAGCATTCCCCGCTCTCATCTTTTGTCTGCGTGGGAAGGAGCGGTGAAAATCTATTCTAGACTGGAGCCCAAAAGAAGGTTGTGTATTCCTGATTTTGCTCAAGATGACGGTACTCACCAGGAGACACTCGGACGAGGAAAGGCGTCCACCTTTGCAGCTAGTTTCAGTGACTTGTGGCCTGAGGTGATCTCGTAGTAAAGTTTCTTATGTAAAACCGTAATGAAGGGTTTGTCTGGAAAGAGAAACAAACAGGAGGACGAGTAATGGCAGATCTGGCGCGGTACGGTGCTCGCGTCTTTGAACTGTGCTGTGTCTGCTCTGGGTTTTTCGCGACACAGATCTGCAGAAGCTGCAGATGGCCGCATGGAATGACAAGCTGTTGCCGTGCAAAGCTCAGCCCCAGCCAGGCAGGTCTTGTCTCCAACTGAAGGAATTTATATTTAAAGAAGAGACTCAGCATCCGCATCGCCCCTGGATCGGTGTGAAGAAATGCCCAGGGTATTGGAAACATAGTGCTGACTCTCCCATAATATTGATTAGAGGTTATAGATGATTAACGGTTGTTTTAACTAGTTGGCATTCTCCCTAATGCCATTTTAACGCCAAGGTCGCGGGTTCCATTCCCGTTCGGTCCCCATGTGTTGCCTGATCTAGTCGAGAGGTGGCGTCTCTGGCAGCAGGGAGGCTGGATTAAAATAATCTCTAAGGTCCCTTCCAGGCTAGGACATTCTATGATTCTATGATTTTTATATTGACAGATTTAATAATGTGTCATTTATCCTTTAAGTTTGACCATCTTGGTTCTCGCGTACTCTGGTTTAGCTGCAGAACTTACCGTACACTGTCACCGTGACGTTGGCCTCCAGCTTTGTTACGTTGAATGTTTTGCAGACGTAAAGGCCTCCGTCTTGCACGGTGACGTTTTCGATTGTCAGGCTACTACCGACTTTATACACCGTGTCGCTCTGGTCTAGTGTTCTTTTAGGATAATGTTGCTAGAAGTCACAAAAAAAGAGGGTAAAAAAGCAGCGTAAACTGGATTATTTAGTTCACCCTTTCAAAGGGTGCAAGTAAAGAAAAGCAGCGATTCGTGTCAAAATTATAATCTCTCCCCAACACTGAAATAAATAATATAAAAGGCAAATCGGCCGGAAGAGCTCTTGTGTAAGGTTTCATTATCAGGTCTAATAAGAGAGAGAAACAGTGGAACTCTGGTGCTTCTCTGCAGAAATCTGGGCAGGCAGGTAAAAAAATCATAGACCAGCCCTTCTCAGGGACCAAATCCCAGGGATCTCAGTGCAAAACTGCCGTTGCCACTGGTAGGGTGAGAATTGTGCTTGGTTCCTGTTTGTTTTGGTTATTTTGCTGCTGTCAGGTTTTGCTGGTTTTTTTTTTTGGTTGCAGTCAGCATTCCTCTTTCTTAAAAAACTTCTACTTTCTAAAAAAGATATATTCTAACAGAGATATCTTATGCCAACGAAATGCCAGTGCCAATTCCTGAAGAGTTTTAGAAAACGTTACCACTTCTGATGGGATTTTTATTCCCAGAGATTTGGCCAATACTGTTAGAAATCTAAAGAGGGTTCATAGAAAAGCAACTTTCTTCCCTCATACAGGGTTCAAAAAAGAAAATTCTCTAGCACCATATTGCTTGCACTTCTATGTTGTATTTTCTGTAGTTTCTTCACAAAACCAAAATCGGACTTTCTTTCTTTAAGTAAACAAATTAAGGAAAAGTCAATTTTTAGGAATCACATTTTACATGTGTTTCAGATTAAGCTAGGGTTTACTCAGCCCAGTGAATGAATCTTTCTTTTGGGTAGGGGGAGCTTACGTGAAAGCAGAACATTGAATTTTTGTCAACTCACTCTCCCATTAGGACATGTCCAGATGAACTCGACGCGCCCGTTGATGAAGGTTTCTGCTGTGCATTCCAAATGGAGAGTTTCTCCAACCAGCAGTTTTTTGGGGGTTGCTTTCAGAGCCAGGTTCTGTGCTCTGGCCTCTGAAATGAAAAAAAACCCAAAGGTATAACCTTAAATACACCAATTGTGAAATAAGCCCACATCATATCTGTGGAGCCCCAATGACCTCATGGGTTTTTTTAGCTTTGCATTCATGGAACTAGTGAAAAATAATTACTCCAACAATGAAGAAAAAGAGAGCGGGATTTACAAGACATTTATTTGGCTGCCATACAAATTTACAGGCCCGTTGTTTAAAGCCGGGTGCTAATTGTATAGAAGGATGCCGTGATCTAATGGGAATGAAGTCACAGTAAACTCTCCTCTGTTAAAAACATAATATATGAGGAGAGAAAGATCATACGTTGAAAACAAAGGGGAACTAAATTCTAATTGGCACTCAAAAATTTAATGCTTAATTGCTTCAAATTCGGATTTTAATTCTGAGCTGAAGCTCAACTGTAAATGCAAGGGAAAGGGTAAATCACCAAGGGAAACCATATTAAAAAGCAAATATTTGAATTAGCAGTTTAATGACATTTTTATACCATGATCTTGTGTGTTTAATGACCAGAAGCGAGAAGAAAGCTACTGTTTGGTTCATCCTAAACCAGCAGCTGTTTTAATGTAAATACAGCGCAAGCCAAGCGAACAAAGACTTGATGGCGTTTGAAGAAAATACTCCTATTTCGTACCACCTCAACGTTTGCTCCTTTTTCAAACCCAGGGGGGGATCAAATCCAAGGAGAAAAGGAGAAGGAGTGAGTTTGCTTTTAGTGTTCTGGCTTGGACTCGCCACAGATACCTACCAATTGGATATATCCAATATACTTGAGGCTAATCACAAAACAATACCCAGGGACGTAGCTGTGAAATCGAGACCTTGGCACGCAGTGGCCACTCACCCAGTCTCTGGGCTAGGTAGTAGGAGGTGAACACGCTTCCGCTGACGTTTGCAGTGCAGGTGAGTACCCCAGAGTAGACAAACGACTGAGAGGGGATGACAAATCCTCTCTTTGGGTCCCACACCATCCTCTTGAAGTTCATCTCTACGGAAACAGGATACTGAAAGAGAACAGACAGATTGGAGGCTTGTGAGACATTCCTGTTTCCCTCAGACCATAGAGGCAACCAGCCAAGGCTGGTCTGATTTAGAGGCTGCGTAGATATTTGACCTTTCCGAGTGGTTGGTGGTCTCATTCCGCACATATCTCGAGCAACATCAACATAAGCAAATAGAAAAACCTTCCCTAAGGTACGACTGTCTTTGAAATTCAAAACTTGGACATCATAACTCGAGCTTTTGATTCAGTAGCCCCAGTCCTCTCAGATCTTAGGCAAGATACCATGCTACCCATTGTAAGTCCCATTTCCCTCGTCCCTATACTGGAAATAATTACGCCTGTCTTATAGGAATTGTGTAGGGTAATCGTTTTGGAAGTGGTTAAGAATAACATTTGTTTTTCCTATTGAGGCATGTAGCTACCACGTGTTTTCCTGGGATCTCACAGGGGAAATCCTCTATTTGCTAGACAAAATGCAATTTACTTTCCAGTCGTTTGAAAACCCTAGATTGTAACATAGGAAAGAAATACGTGAAATTACGTGCAGACAAGAAGCCTGAAATTCATCTGCTCCGGCCCGTTTGCAGGCAGGTGAATGGCAGCACAGGCTGGAGGTCTGACTTTTCCAGCAGGACACAGGAAAGCTTTTTAGCTTTTTAGCTCTTTTAGCTTTTTAGCTTAGCGGAGGACGCACTGCAGGAGTGTCGAAGTCGGTTTTGGCAAAAAAATGAAGGGTCTGGGGAAAATCTTGGTGTGCCTAGAGTGGCCACGTGATAATTACCTTTATCTGCACAGTGCTTCTCCCTCCTTCTCATTCACTGGCTCCTCAAAGATGAGGCAAGTTAATATTTTCCTTTTCAGAGCTACCTTGGTTGAGCTTTTGGAGCTAACCAGGGGAAGAGCTGCACCAGGGACTGCAAATGGGAATTTCCCTGATGATGCTATAGTTTTACTCTTATTCTTGCTGTTGTGCAGCATGCAATTTATTTTTCTGTCTCCAAACAAACGTTAGTCTCGTATGGCAGTCTGGTTTAAACAGGATTCAGCTTAAATAATAATCCCGTTCCTGTTCAGCTCTGGGCCGTGAGAGCTGGTGCTCATACCCCTCCTATGAACACACAATTGATCAGGCTGGCGTCAGGTTAGGTCACTTGTTATTACATTTTCAGCACAGAAAACAAGAGAATTATGGCTGTGGGGCAGTGGCTGGTGATGTTGCTGTGGGGCAGGAGGCAAAGCAAGACAGTTGCTCTCTTTTAGAACCACATTTCTCTTCTGACAGTAGTAGGAAACATGGGTTTCATGTAAATACTTTTGAAGTAATCAAGCTGTGGCATCTCTGTTCAGAAGCATTAGGAAAATTCAGGAAAATTACAGAAAGAGATCTGAGACCCGAGGCTTAATCATGCTTTAACACCCTTGAAGGTCAAAGCTGTAAGTGGCAAATGCACGCTGAACCTGATCGGTGACTGAACAGACCTGACAGGACTGAAAATGCTCGTTTTGCCCAGAATTAGAATCACGTTAAGTAAAATTAGAAGTTTGAATTGTGCATCTTAGCCTGAGTTTATTAATAACAAAGATGATATGTAGCATTAGCTGGGATCTGGTTAGTATTAACAAGAGGTACCTTTCTCCATGCATATTTAAAGGCCAGAGAGTGCAATGATTTTAAAGTATAATGGTAACATAAGGAACTTAATTTACGGTGGATAAAAGTACATTTTCTACAAGAATAATAAAATGTGATAAAGCTGAACCTCATGGTTTGGCAGCTCTGCTCCCTGATGGCTGGGGAAAGGGGAAAGAAAAAATAACCCTACTCAGGAGGCCCTTTTCAACGCTACGCACATATTAAGTGTCTTCATAAAATATTCAAAAATATATATTTAAACAATCAAACATAAAACGTCAACGCTGCTTGAAGGAAACCACGGTGGCCTTCCTCCCTTTGAAGTCCGTTGTCTAGTTGGAGCTTAAATTTGGAAGAAGAGGATGTTCTAAATTTGTCTGGTCGCCTTGTTCACCTCTCCTCCCCCATCCCCACCTCCACCCCTCTCCCGCCCCGCTTCCTCTTCGCATGGGAAGCCGCCGCCTTGGCTCCACGCGGAGCTACGGAATCCCCAAACAGGGCAAAAAACAAGCCACGGCTTTCCGTTGATGGAGCCCAGGGCCGGCGGCTCCCAAAGCCGACACGCATCTCTCAAAGTGCGTCCCCCTGAGTCGCGACGTCTCCCCGGCTCGCGGCCTCAGGAGGGTTCCTCCGGGGAGCGGCACTCCACTGCTCCATCCCTGCCCCGTGCCTTGAAGAGGGAAAATCTTTTGGGGGAGAATTTTCTTTGCAATTCAGAAAGGGAGATTTCAGTGGAGATTTTGCTCCAGCAGCACCTCGCGGCAAGGTAAAGGTCTTTGGTTTGTGTTTGAGGAAATTACTGGGAGAGAATTTAACTGGAGAGCAGGGCTGCCTGTAAATAAGGGGATAAATGTGGAGGTCTGCTTGGTCGAGGTCCCAAGGCCGCGTCTGGGCTCATGCGACTGTGCAGCAGCAACACCAGCAATGAATTTGCTCGAAGTAGGCTAAAATAAGATGAGGATGTTTCATTTCTATAGCCAAAGAGAAGGTGATAACACTTATCCAGGCTACAGTGATAAGCTATAACTGGAGAGGAGCCTTATCCCGCCGACCCACCCTTTAATCCCTACTGACAAAATGTAAAAATAGAGAGCAGCTAAAGCAATAAGGCCAGTGCTGTCCCTCTGCACGTCTACTGGAAATTTGCCATCGGTCTCAGCAGGAGCCGGAGCACCATCTCAGGCCTCCGTGGTTCCGTGCGCTGTCTCCCAGGAGCAGGAGAGGCATCTCCCAACGAAGACATCTGAACGGCTGGGAGGAGCAGAGCTCCTCGGACCAGCGCAGCACCAGCCAATCTGTGCGCGTTCCCTGCCACACCATGTCCAGCCCAACCACCTCCTCTCCCCCAACCCCTCCAGAACAGGCTGTGGAAAGGGGCAGAGGATGAGCTCTCGTTCCCATCAGGCCAGCTCGAGCAGGCAGCCCAGCAGCAAATCACAAAAGGCACACAACAACACTGGAGCCAGAAACCTTTGTTCCATTCCTCCCTCTGCGACAGCCTCTTCTATAGAGCAATTCCAAAGCCTTTTAAATGAGTGACTAGATCTTCATTGACTGAGGAAGCCCCAGACCCTAAATTTTGGGTTTTATGATACAAAATGGCCTTGGCTTCCACGGAGCATTCTGTGACCTCGACATTCTGCTGCCGAAGGGATGGATGCTGTAGCCATTTATTCCCAAGGCTAAAACTTGGTTGAGATTTATGAAATCGAGCTAAAATGGGCAAGTGTTCTGAGGAGGTGCAAGGTATAAAAGAGAGAAGCTTTCATGAGGATAGCTAACAGACTAGGGTTATACAAAGAATTTGGAAGAAAAATAGTGCCTTGTCATCTGTCTTTGCCAATTTATGGAGGAACATTAAGCCACAGGATGAGAAAAATATGTGATAAACACAGCCTAGTTCCCAGAACACCCTTGTGCAGGTCAGCAGTAATACACCACAAGGGCAGAACTGTGCTTCTGGGTTTTCAGTGTTTTCGCTGTTTTGGTTTTTTTCTCCTGAAACTTACCTAGTTTCACACACTTTCTTCTGTCTTTTTACCTATTGTGTTGGCAGCCCAGACTTCTGAATTGATTTTCTCTGAAACAGTCACTTACCTGGGTAAGCTTAGGTTTGATATCTGGCGAGGTAACTCGGCAAGGGATGACAACCGCTTCCTTAGCATCTAAAATGTAGATTATTTTGGGATGTTCCGGGTGAATCTCCACAAATGGATTCCTGTAGTCTGCAGGGAAAAGAACATTGATTTGTAAAACGGCTCCTTTACTGATCAGTGACCAGAAGGACACTGTGACCCGAGCGGGGAACTGCCCAGAGACGGCTCGCTGTAGCGTGGGACAAAACACCCAGCGACATTTTGCTTGTTTGCAAATGCCAGCGTCATCTAGGAATTATAACCAAACACCCAGAATCGCAGTGGCCCAATTCTAACCCTATTTTACCAGTTTGCGATGTAATCCTGTAAGAACTCCCTTTCTTACCCATTCCCCAACTGTAAAAATGAAGTTAATAAATCAGCTTCGCAGGGCACTGGAGGCAGTTCTTTGCCTGGCGCTCTGAATTACTTTCATAGGTTGTATTATACCACAGCACTCCTAAATGCCACAGCAGGTAAGGGTTACAATAGGTTCACAGTGCTTAAGGTAAATCTACTGAAAGGAAAAAAAGCTTCTTTCTGTGAATGAGAATCTAGAATACTGCAGAAAGCATGCAAAAAGGGAATGTAGACCCCTGATACTCAAATCTGTTTAACCTAACAGTGAAGTCATTTAATCACACTCTTGGGGAACTGTGGGATTCTCTACAGATCTGCCACAATAAATCAGGCTGGATATACATAAACAATAGAAATAAATAGAAAGCTGAGGTCGTTTACATTAATAAAGCTTCTGAGTCTCATTCACTGGTTTTTTCGTTGAGTGAACACAGCGATGGTCATCAGAAAGTTAAAATAACATTTGTGAAATCCTGAAACGCTCAAGACTTTTCTAAAAAGCATTCTTTGACTTAATATTCTTGCGGTCTAAAGTTTCAAATACCGGTCAGCTCATGCGTTACCAATGACACCGCACAGCGCAGGCAGTCAACCACTTTGGGTTGGGATTATACTGTTGACAGGAAAGGATGTGCACCCCATGCCATAACCCCAACTTGCTTATCCCTGCCTTGAGACCTGCCTCCACACAATTATATTTTGAAAATTGCTGCACCTAAAGCACGGGAAAGAGCTGATGTGAAAGGTTCATGAACAATCCAGACTGCAAAAATGTGCTTTGATAGGACTTTAAAAAAGGACGTGCTATGAGGCAATTAAAATCAGTTTTCCAAAGACTGTTTAACTACTCCCAAATGGGCTAAATTGGTAATTAATGAAGACAGCCAGGGTTGACACATTCATTGCTCTGGATGTGTAGGAGGCCTTCAACAATGGCCAACACTTATGGCTTTGGAAAAGGGAAACATCTACAGTGTGGGCGACCCGTTCACCGATGTTATATAATGAGGAAGTGTCCTTCCTGATGAAGATCATTAATGTACTTCCTGAACTGCCCGTGGATCCTCATGTCATGTTTCCTCTCTAATTCCTGTTGTAATATCAAGGGATTTTTTTTACAGAGAAAAAAAGTAATCAATTATGGCTTGATGGATCTAGTCCCATTATTCATTCAGAAATTGCCCAGAATGGCACATCTCTATGCAAATACATGAAAATGCAAATACATGGAAAAAATCCTGTTTTAAAAATTACTTGTACCTCCTTGTGAATGTTGGCCATTTTGTCTACTACAATGAAGAGTCTAAAATTGGGAAACCCACCAGAATTTCCCCTTTCTCAGGACTCTATCCCTGGCAGGGTCTTTTGCTTCAAATCAGTGGGAATCCCTTCTTCAATTTAAAACAAACGTTCGCCCTTTGGACCCTAGAAAGGAGGGGTCTATTCCATGCTAGAGGATCTGTAATTAAGCAGTAGGTGATGTGCTTATGCTGATTTTTTTCTGGGTAACAAGTGTTCTACATGTAAACGACGTAACTACGCTTATTGCGGTCCTGCGGAACTGCTTGAGTGTGGGATAGGAGATTGGGATTTGCCCTCCCAGAGCAAAGGAAAACATGAATTTGGGTTATCTCACTTGCTTTGGTTTTATTTCCCCGTGACTGGTAACTCATCTGGGAACAGGTCATTTGTCTGGGGATATCAATGTTCATTTCTTGGCTAATGACAACACTCTTCACTTAAGGAATGTCATGGGAATATGTAAGCGCTGTCACTTGGAATTAATCTTCAAAGAATTAGCTGGGCGCAGAGCTCGAGTTCCTTCATTCCACAATGCCAAACGGTTTCTCTCACAAAAACACAAAGGGTGGAAGGCAGGGATTGAGACAGGAGAGTGGAACTGTTGCTTTTTGTATTTCTCTTAGCTTAATTTTAGCTCTGAGAACTGAAAATAGGATTCTTGGCAGACAAAATATGTCTTATGCTCCACCACGATGAGAGCAAATGTTGGCTGGGGCACCTTGTGTGGATCAGAAGGGTCACACGTGTTATGGTGATGTTCTACAAAAGGCACTTGGGTCGCTGGGCAGGTACGAGAGACGTGTGATTCAGGAGGAGCTGTGACAAGGAGTGGGTTGGTAGCGCTGAACTTGAGGCAGGAAAACAGAAATCTGGATGATGTCTATCATTTCTAGCAATGTCTTTTCATGTCAGCTTTTATTCCATGCCATCGATCTCTTCTGACCGGGTTGATCTATAAAAAACCCCGTGTACTTTGGAATAAGGGCATTATGTGGGAGAGATTAATTAGAATTAATTTTGACCTGTAATCTCCCCACATTTAGGAAGTTTCAGATACGCATCTGAACTTTCTGGTTAAGCAGGCACTGGTTCTAATCAAGCCTTGAGCTGAGAAACCTGATCTCAGGACCACAAATTTGTAGCTTGTTCCAATCCCTACAACTAATAGGAAATATTTACACTCAATCCAGTGTTTTATGCACTTTCCCAAACAGGTCTGGTAAATTCTTTTATTGAGCCACATTCCAAAAATGTCTTTAGTGTTTGTCCCTGAGCGTTAGAGCTGCTTAATACCTCCAAAGGTTTGCTCTCCAGCTAAACTGTACTTGGTTGTATCAAACGTAATGACATTTTTATGACCTTTTTTAAAGCTTATGCAAATGGCAAAAGGCCTTTCTACTTAAAAGACAACGCTGGATCATTCATTATAGGAAAAAAACACAGAAAACAGATTTTTGTGTATTTGCGACAAACACTGGGAATGAAAAAGGGTGTCAGGGGAAGCACGTTCATGTCTATTTCTAGTCCTGTGAGGAAAAAGACAGAACAACTAATGCGCCACATCACAGGGGGACCGGACAAGAATATAGGCCAAGAGGAAACTTATTGAGAAAAGGAGCTTCTTGATACCTAAAACTATTCGCAAATCTGGATCGAATTTTCACTGAGTGTTTTGACTGAAAAGATGGGAACACTGAATTTAAAAATGTTTGCGCCAGTATTTTAAAAGGGAATTTCAGAATAGCACTGTTTGTTTAAAAAGTAACATAAATCAAAAGAAGGTATCTAAGCAAAAGTTAAATAATCCTAAAACGTCAGAAAATACTGAATTATGCAATGATTGAAATATCTTAGTCCAAACAGAATACAATTTCTCAAAAATATTTCCTGTTCAGGGAAAAAAAAATAATTATTTAACCCCATTCTCCTCTGTCATCTCTCCCTACCTCCCACACTGACCTCTACTGAATTTTCAAATTCGTAACAGGCCTAAAAATAATCTACTTTTTTTCAGCTGTAAATAGCAGAGATACTCATCGTAGTGGTACTAAGCTACTGAAGGAAACCCGAACAGGAAACATGAATTTACAGCGTATGTAACCAGAAACTATATTTCATTCCTAATTGATTTTTAATAGCAGCCTGCACCTGACTTGCCATATGTCTAGCCAGTAGCTAGAATTACAGTATCCCAGATCATAAGCTGCAATCTGATTTGGACGCCAAAGCATGTAAATCTGGCCTTGTACCGTCAGTGTTGGAAATGCAGGTAGGGGTTTAAAATCACCGCAAAACTAACAATGGCTAAAGGCGGTTTCTGGGTGGTAAAGGTGGGTTGGGAGAAGAGAGGAGAGGATGGCTGGAGCTGCAGCTGATGGTCAATCTCTGGTGGGTGTCAGCTCTCACGGGCATTATTCACACCATGCTTTGAGAAAAAGAGAAAAAGGTTTTATATTTTATGGCTCCTACAGTAGGCGAGGTTTCCTAGAGCCCTGTGCAAGAAGCAGATGGCTGCACTTTGTGTTATCTCTGTGCTTTATCCCGTTCATAGAGTTCTCTGCACTCCTTTCCTCCCTATTTCGAGCTGCGATACGGGAGCTCTTTCACAGGGCGGGGATACCTGTGCAGTGAGCAGAGCAGTCCTAAAGGGAAGATGCTCATGTGGCAGCTACTCAAAGGGCTCAACTCCTACAGCTTTGGCGTGAGAGTTTAGACATCAGGTCAGAGCTACCCTTGGGCCATCAGTGGGGAGTGACCCTGGAAGGAAAGGAGAAGGCGGTTGCAGGTGAAGGCCAAGCACTCGCCAAATAACCCTGGCGATGTCAGGGAGGCTGCAGAGAAATTTTCTTTTCCCTGATTGTGCAACTCCGTGCAAAAGTAATACCATTGAGTGCTAAAGTGCACACGGAGCAGCAGAGCAAGCCTCCGTGCATCCTGCAGCCTGCTTTTAGCTGCTTGGAAAACCCATGTAAGCAGGAACAAGCCGACCTCGCTGGCATCAGGGTGGAGACGCTCTGAGCAAGAGCACGTTGCAGACAGCTGGGCTGTTGACTTAACAGATAACTAAATATGAAGTGGTTCAGCCTTGGACCTTAACAAAATGACAAAGAATGAATGGGGGACTAATCAACCTTTGTTATGATTTGTGCAGAGAAAAAACTGGGTGCTTCATGAAACTCCTAAGTAGTTCAGACTGACTGTGGCATGGAAAAATGATCTGCTGGAACATCGGGAGTGTTGCTGCCAGCTTTACAAACAGATTCACCACCTTAAGCTAATCAGCAATCGTTTAACTGCTTGTAAAGAAAGTCTCTCAGAGACTGAGCTTCTTGAAACAAAAGGGACAGGGTCACTTTTCTTTAGAAATGATAACGTTAGCCTCAAGGAAGATCTCGGATTCCAGATGGTGTAAATCAACTGCACTCAGC